GAAAAGGAATCTAAACGTGAATAAAATGACAAGTAGAAAGTTCAATAGAATGGCCATGTATTTAAAAGTGACACCAGCTGCATCAGGCTATAAATATTTTCTGTCGTTTGTCCATTAATTGTATCTTCTTTTAATGATATTAGTTTTTACAGGTAAGTTGAATTAGACTGACAGTTCATGTCAGTGATCCCAGTATCAATTGTGCATTTATGCTGTTGCCTCAAGAGTGTATTAAATATCTTTTGCTATTGGGAGAAGATATTCATACAAGATCATGTAACAAATTGGTGACGTGACAACTCACTACATATGTGGCTTTACTCAATCAACAAGTCAAGTCTAATCTTACATGTCATGCCTAAAGCTGCAAATTGTCATAACATTAAATGCACTTGAGCATAGGTCTAACTGATTATGCCTATGACAAGAGGCCCAAGCCGCTAGAATGAAGCCACGTGTATCTTCATCTAACGGTTCTTACTCACCATCTTCTACTATAAAAGCTCACACTTGGTGTCATTTCAAAGGTAATGTATGTTTATACTCTCAACATATAACTTTGATCTCTTTACTCTCTATATTATTCCCAGGTCCAAAACCCCTTTTACTTAAAGTGGCTTACATCTTTAGCACATCCCATACCAAAATATATATTCTTACATAGGCTGACTTGACCGTCGAAGTGCCTGCGATAGTCTTCTCCACGGTCGGAGATCGACCGTACGCTCTAATAGTTTGTCCAAGTGTGCAAGAACGAGCTAAGTGAACATGAGAGGAGATGAAATCTATTGGCCAGTTGGAGGTACAAAATTCAAAGTCAATAGATAGATGCCGTATGTGGGAAACAACACTATAACCACTAACATTTCATGGAAAAAGCATACAAAGAGTGCCTAAACTTCCCACTTGAAAAAGTTTTGTTCTCGAATAAAGAGCATGTGGAAGCCCCAAAGATAGAAGATTTGACGTTTAACCCAATGCCTTTGGTGTTCACATTACTTGAAAAATGAGTATTTTGAGTTTAAGATCCTATTAAAAGAGCCCATCTTTGAAGAGAATATGCATCTTCTCACCACGAGTTTAAGCAATGAAAAGACATCCCTCTTGAAAAAGGTTTTGTTCTTGAATAAAAAGCAAGTGGAAACCCCAAAAGATAAAAGATTTGAAGTTCAACCTAATATTTTAGCGTCCATACTCCTTGAAAAATGAGTATTTTGAGGTCAAAATCTATCTAAAAGACTCTCTCTTTGAATAAAAAAAAAAAAAAAACAGTCACCCACAATAAGTGCTAGTGATAAAGATAGATGACCAAGCAAATCAAGAGAGATCTCTAAAGAAGAGGTCCTCCAGATAAAAGTCACTCTTATGCAATAATTCCTCCTCCAAATGTAATGGAATATGCATGACCCTTGTAGAGGGGAAGGCCTACAAAAAAGAAGGCCTTAAGCGGGGGAAAAAAACTCTTGAAAAAGGAAGACCCTAAAAAGTAGTCAATAATCGAATATTCATGAAAAATTGGAGACGTCCGAAAAAGAGGCTATGAGGACAAAGTCTTGAAGAAATAGACGAGTTTGAAGAATTAAGCAGCCTCATCCTTGAAACATGGGACTTCGCCTCTACACAAATGTTTTCATCTATTTTCAAAGGCTTCAACCTTGTAGCAATACTCCAACTCTACAACTATGATTTTTTCAAATATAGAGGCCTCTTAATGGCTTATTTAAAAGTGCTCCCACCATGCAAATCTTCCTCCTAACCTATGTATAAGCACTTTCTACGTGTGATAAGTAAAAATTCCCAAATTGAAGGAGAACAATGCAAAAAAAGAAGAAGAGGACTAAAAGCGAACAAAAAAGTGAACTGGGGATCAAAGTGTGGGAATGTTAAAAGTCGAAGGACTTCAGATGTAATTTATCAAAGGTGTGATCAAAATAAAGTCAAAATATAAGGTCCAAGATGTAGAAGATAAAAAGTTGAGAGACCTAGTTATGAAATTATTGAGGGATGTGAAGGTCATTTTTAGTTTTACCTATGAGTTAAAGCATGCCCATAAAATGAAGACCCCCCCCCTCCTCCCCGCCCCCGAAAAGGGGTGCCATTTGAAGATATCATGAATAAAAGAACCTTTGCAAAAGGAAGGCATCTAAAGAAGAAGCTACGAACGGAATAACCCCTGAAGAAGGGGTCATATTTGAAGAATTACAAGACTTCATCCATGAAGCATAAGAACATTGTTAAAACCACAAATCTTTTCTAAATGTGAAGGTCTCATCTCGCGAGCGTCTCTATCATCCCTAAAAATGGAAGCCTCCAAAAAAGAATTTATGAATAATAACTCCTAAAGAAAGAAGGTCCTGAGAGAAAGGAGGATCCTTGACAAAGGGGTACTCGATGAATTAAGAGGCCCCTGAAATCTTGGACTCCGTAATCCAAGGCCTCATCCTACCTATACATCAGTACCTCCACTACACAAAGCCTTATCTCGCCTATGCATCAGTGCCTTCAACATGCAATGCTTCATCTTGACTATGTATCAGTGTTTTCGAATATATTAATACGTTCCATGGATGGATCAAACACCATGAAGGAAATCCTTGCAAAGAAGAGCTCTCACCTTGCAATGAGGTAAAATAGCCTCTTGAAAAATAGTCCTAGGTAAAATAGCCCTTGCAAAGATGATGAAAAATGATGAATTAATCCTTTTATTATAAGGGTTTACATGAAAACCTAGTTTGAACAACAAAAAATTGAAAAGAATTCAAAAGAAATTAAATGACAAAAATAGACTAAAACTTTAAAAGCAATTTTTGAGTCCTAAACGAACTCGGATGGTCAAAATCGATGGTATGTGTCGAGTGTCGCCTAAGCCGTGAGTTCTACTTGTCTCGTCGATCTCTTTCCAGAATAGTTTTATGCACCCAAACATGAGTTCAAATATTTTCTCTACACTATTACATTTTTTTCATTTTGATCTAATTCTTTTCCAATCCATTACATTTCTGGATGCATCACGGTTTAGTGGGGGCAAATAAAGAAAACTTTATTAATAACTTACCTTAAAATGGCCATGTCTTAATTGGAGTTTGTAAGATTTTCTAACTATTCTTTGGTCTCCTCATGTCGGAGGATCCCACTAGCAACTATCGCCTTTACATACATATCTACTTTTAAATGCGATATATCAAAATTGTGTAAAAAGCGCCTCCAGTTTCTCGCTGTGGATTAGGTAAATAAAATTTTTGCTTGCCAAATCTGCCATAGCCATGGATTCCCAACTCCAAATTCAATACGCACCTTTTTCTCTCCCACCTCGAAATTCAAGAACCCAAAAGGTAAAGACTTGGAAATCCC